CAGAGAACAAGAGGCTTGCTGGAGGGAAGCAGGGCATGGCATTGGCGTGGTGATTGGCATTGAGGAGGGCACTTGTTGTGATGAGCACTGGGCGTTATAGGTAAGTGATGAATCACTAAATACTAGTCTTGAACCAATATTACAGTATATGTTAACTAACTAGAATTTAAGTAAAAACTTGAAAAAAATAAGGAAAGAACACTCATGGAATGGTAAAGCTTGCAGGGACCATGGTAGTCCAGTAGCAAGCACCTTGTGCATTAAAAGATGAGGAAGGGGCGCCTGGATGGCACAGTCAGTTATGTGACCAACTGTTGGTTTCAGCTTGGATCCTGATCTCAGGGTCATGAGGTCGAGTCCCACATCGGGCTCCGTGCTCAATCTGGAGCGTGTTCTCCCTCTCTCTCTAACTCCCACTTGTGCTCTCTCTCCCTCTCTCTGATTTATATATATATAAATCTTAAGAAAGAAATAAGATGAGAGAAATAAATCACATTTTCAGACACCGTGCAGACCCTGGAGCTACAAAGCCTCACCTATACCACACACACTACCCTGCCTGCCTCATCTTTCCTCAATCTCCCTTTTCTGCTCTGCTCTTCCTCCCTTTTCTTTCCTAGACACCATATGCTTAGTGAGGCCAGCAGGACCAAGAGCTAAAAATGTCCTGGGTGTGGCCCTTCATAAAGGCTTTCATCAAAGGCACTTACCTTGAAGTTGAAGCCATGATGAGCCAGGAACAGAGACTTGTCTATATGTGCAGAGTCAATGAACCTGTAAGACAGCAAAGGTCGATTTTTAAAAATTGTATGCTAGGCAGCCCGGGTGGCTCAGTGGTTTGGTGACTGCCTTCGGCCCAGGGTGTGATCCTGGAGACCCAGGATCGAGTCCCACGTCAGGCTTCTGCGTGGAGCCTGCTTCTCCCTCTGCCTGTGTCTGTGCCTCTCTCTCCCTCTGTGTCTCTCTCATGAATCAATAAAGAAAATCTTCAAAAAATAAGAAATAAAATAAAATATGTATTCTTTCATTGTAAAGGGCCTTAACTATCAATTTCACTTTTAAAAAAATTGTATGCTAATTAGCAAAGAATAAGACCTTCTCCACCATTTAAGTGGAAAAAAACCAAAAACAAAAACACATGTTTAGCTCAGAGTTCACCAGCAGTAAGCAGAGGATGGATTGAATACACACACAGCAGTGGGGGACTAGTCAACTGGTCAATCAGAGGGAGGAACAACAAGCCCTCCACCTCCTGCTGAAACATATTATAGGTCAAAGGTTTTCACCGTCAAAACTACTGGCATGTGGGCCGGATGAGCCTTTGCTGGGGGGCTGTCCTGTGAATTACGGGATTTTAACAGCTTTCCGGAACTCTACCCACTAGATGCCAGTAAAACATGGATCCCCTACCCGTGAAATCAAACATGTTTCCAGACATTGCCATACTTCCCATGGGGGGGGGGGCAAAATTGCACCTGGTTGACAACTATTATTCTCTATCAAGACTACCAATAGATTCTACTGTAAAAAGGAAATGCTGTCTACTAGTACTGCCCAATATGGTATGTGGTTACTACATATCTGATATATATATGGCGAGGGTGATTGAGAAAGGGAATTTTTAATGTTATATAATTTTAATTAATTTTAATGTAACTTGTCACATGTGCCTGGCCAGTGACCACCGTATTAGTGAAGTCCCCGATGTATAAAGAACCGATTATGAAACAACGTTCTCTTAACAACCAACAGGTCAAAGAAGAAAAAATTCTTTCATAGAATCACTTAAGGGGGAAATTAAAAAGCATCTTGAGGCCATCTGGGTGGCTCAGTTGGTTAAGCCTTCGACTCCTGATTTGGCTCAGATCATGATCTCAGGATCTTGAGATGGAGCCCTGTGCCGGGATCTGCAGTGAGTGTGGAGCCTGCTTAAGATTCTCCCTCTCCGGATGCGGAGAAAAGGGAACACTCTTACACTGTTGGTGGGAATGTGAACTGGTGCAGCCACTCTGGAAAACTGTGTGGAGGTTCCTCAAAGAGTTAAAAATAGACCTGCCCTATGACCCAGCAATTGCACTGTTAGGGATTTACCCCAAAGATTCAGATGCAATGAAACGCCGGGACACCTGCACCCCGATGTTTCTAGCAGCCATGTCCACAATAGCCAAACTGTGGAAGGAGCCTCGGTGCCCATCGAAAGATGAATGGATAAAGAAGATTCGGTTTATGCATACAATGGAATATTACTCAGCCATTAGAAACGCCAAATACCCACCATTTGCTTCAACGTGGATGGAACTGGAGGGTATTATGCGGAGTGAAGTAAGTCAGTCGGAGAAGGACAAACAGTGTATGTTCTCATTCATTTGGGGAATATGAATAATAGTGAAAGGGAATATAAGGGAAGGGAGAAGAAATGTGTGGGAAATATCAGAAAGGGACACAGAACATAAAGACTCCTAACTCTGGGAAACGAACTAGGGGTGGTGTAGGGGGAGGAGGGCGGGGGGTGGGGGTGAATGGGTGACGGGCACTGCGGGGGACACTTGACGGGATGAGCACGGGGTGTTATTCTGTATGTTGGTAAATTGAACACCAATAAAAATTAATTAAAAAAAAAAAGATTCTCCCTCTGCTTTCCCCCTGCCCCAACCCACTCCTGGGTTCTCTCTCTTACATAAATACATAGTATCTTGAAACAAATGAAACAAGGAAAGCCAATATACCAAAACATTTAGGCTGCAGCAAAAGATTTCTAGGAGAGCTTAATGCTATAAACACATACAGAAAAAAATATATATATAAATATCTCAAGGAACTCTAGAAAGAATAGATGAATGGATAAAGAAGACGTGGTACATATGCGATGGAGTATTATTCAGTTATAAAAAGAATGAAATCTCGTCATTTGGAATGACGTACGTGGAGCTAAAGAGTAATACTAAGCGAAATAAGTGAGTCAGAGAAACACAAATATCATATGATTTCATTCCTAAGTGTAATTTAAGAAAAAAAAAAAAAAGAATGTGCAAAGGGGGGCACCTAGGTGGTTCAGACGGTAAAAGCATCTGCCTTTGTGTGTTGTTTATTTTTTTCACTTCACGAGACTTAATACTCTTTCATGAAAAGAACTCTTACTAAACTAGGAGTAAAAGTAAACCAACTAAACATAATAAAGACCAAATATGAAAAAAAAAACATCCCAACTAATGTACAAAATAGCAAAAGACTCAAACTTTTCCTCTAAAAATAGGATCAAAATAAAGTTCTTTACTCTGGCCTTTCCATCAAATCTAGTACTAGAAAACTTAGCCAGAGCAATTAGGCAAGTAAAAGAAAGAAAAAACATCCAAACTGGAAAGGAAGAAGAATAATCTTATTTGCATATAACATAATCTTATACGTAGAAATCGTAAGGGTTAAAAAAATTAGAAGCAGTAAACAAATTCAACAAGGTTGCAGAAATGAAATCCAACACACCAAGAAGCAGTTGCATCTCTATCTGTTAACAATGAACAGTTTGAAGTGGAACTCAAGAACACAACTCCATTTACCACAACACCGAAAAAAAGTAAGATATTCAGGAGTAAGACTAATGAAAGAAGTGAAAGAATCATACACTGAACATGAGAAAACATATGTAAGAGTAATGTTTAAAAAAAAAAACCCAAAATAGATATCTTGCATTCATAAGTTGATAGACTTGATATTTTTTTAAAAGATTTTACTTATTTATTCATGAGAGACACACGGAGAGAGAGGCAGAGACACAGGCAGAGAGGGAAGCAGGCCCCGTGCAGGGAGCCTGATGCGGGACTCGATCCGGGGACTCCAGGATCATGCCCTGAACCAAAGGCAGACGCTTAACCACAGAGCCACCCGGGCTTCCCGATGATAGACTTAATATTGCTAAAATGTCAATGCTGCCCAAAGTACTTCACAGGTTCAGGGCAATCTCTATCAAAATCCCGATACCATTTTTTTTTTCCAGAAATCGAAAAATCCGTCCTAAAATTATTTGGAATCAAGGGAAGCCAAATAGCCAGGATAACTTTGGGAAAAAAGAACAAAGTTGGAGAATTCACATGTCCTCATTTCGATACATTGTCCAGCTAAAGAAGTCAAAATAGCATGGCCCTGGTAGAAAGGTAGATCTACACAGACCAGTGAAGTGTAACAGAACCAGAAAGAAAGCCTCATGTATATGGTCAGGTAATCTTCAAAAAGGACGTCAAAACTACCCAATAGGGAAAGGAGAGTCTCTCTAACAAATGCTGTTGAAAACACTGAGTATCTACATGCAAAACAATAAAGTGGGCTCTTGCCTGACATCATGCACAAAGACTTAACTCAAAATGTATCAAAGAACTAAACGTAAAAGTTAAAATTATAAAACGCTTGCAAGGAAACATAGGGAAAAGAGTCCCAATATCAGATCTGCCAATGATTTCTCTCTTTTTTTAAACAGGCTCCATACCCAGGGTGGAGCCCCATATTAGGCTCCAACTCACAACCCTGAGATCAAGACCTGAGCTGACATGGAGTCCTATGCTTACTGACTGAGCCACCCAGGATCCCCGGACCTGGCAATGATTTCCTGACTACGAAACCAAAGCACCAGCAAACAAGTAAACATACACAAATGGGGTCTATAAAACGTCAAATGCATCAAAGGATACAATCTAGAGAGTGAAGAGACAACGAATAGAATGGGAAAAATATGTGCAAATCATGTATTTGACAATAAGTGAATATACAAAAAACTCCTACGAACTTCGTCACAAGGCAACAAGTAGCCCAATGGAAGAAAGGACGAAGAGCTTGTACAGACATTCCTTGAAAGATGTATAAATGGCCAATGAACCTATGAAATGCTGCTCCACATCACTAACCATTAAAAAAGGCAAATCACAACCACGATGTGAGTCCCCCATCAGGCTTCCTGCATGGAGCCGGCTTCTCCCTCGGCCTATGTCTCTGCCTCTCTCACTCTCTGTCACTCTCATGAATAAAGAAATAAAAATCTTTAAATAAAAAAAAAAATAAAACAAAATAATTCGCTTAGGCGTTTGCTGGAAGGTGCTGCTTGTTGCTCAACTTAGGGTCCGTGGAATCCGTGAGGCACGATCATCCTTACATTCAAGGCTTGCCGTTTCTTGTGTCACCAATGTGCTCCTTCCTCTTTAACCCTTCCTCCAGAGGTGGGTCAGGGAGGGGGTCCCAGGAAGTGAGGTCACTCCCGTGACACAGAGCCCAACAGAACTTGGAGCCCCCGTAACCAGGCAACCTCATCCAGTGCAGCCCCAACTCAGGCTCACTTGGCTGGAGACATCCGCTCCTCGAAGATGTTTTCTTGCTGCCGGCCCACCTCTGGGGGCTCTGGCTCCCAGGTACCCCAGGGGTGCCGCTTGTTCCAATGCTGTAGACTTTGGCTCCAGCATAAAAACCAACGCCTCAGGGCGTTTATCAGGAGGCGCCATCAGGTAACACAGAGCAGGCCAGGCCAGGCCCCCTGACCAGCCATCCTGGGTGGCCCCATCCCCTCCTCTCCAGCTTCAGGGACACAGGGATGTGTGGGCAGGTCGCTTCCAGGCTGGGGGACGTTGCAGGGCGGCAGGTTCCCCGGTGATCCCTTCAGGGTCACCGTGAGGTCAAGGTGGACAGGGTGGAAACAGGGTTCCGGAGGTCCTCTTACCCGCCCCAGAGTCACCCCGAGGCCCTGCAGCCGCACCCCTTTGCTCTCCTTGGGGGAGGTGGGTGCCGCATGCGCTGTGGTGTGTCTGGATGGGGGCAGCTGGGGGTGCGGCCCAACCGAGGCGGCCGGACCGGGCGCTGAGGCCTCCTGCCTGGCTGCCGGGCGCTGTCTCCACAGAGCTGCACCCGGGCCATGGGGCGCCAGCGGGAGGAAGGGGTCGCCTGCCCCACCGCCTCCAGGAACTGGGAAGTGCCCTGCGCAGCTAAAGGAGGCCAGCGCGGGCTCAAGGTGAGTGCAGGGGCTGGGGCACCCCCGACACCCGGGGCCCCGATGCGGCACGAAGGGCCCCGGGTCCCAGAAGCCAGCCTGCTACTCCCCTGGCCTGGCCCCTACACTCATGCTCCCACACGAGTCTGCATTCCCCTCCTCCCCACACTTGCCCCAGGGCCCTGCCCCTGCCTGGGCCAGATGCAGAGTCCCTGTGCACAGATGTGTAGGAATGTCAGACTAGAGCCTCCAGGGGAAGCCTGGTCGCCCAGTGGTTTAGCGCCTGCCTTCCGCCCAGGTCCTGACCCCGCAGGCCTGGGATCGAGTCCCGCCTCGGGCTCTCTGCACCAGGGCTGCTTCTCCCTCTGTCTGTGTGTCTGCCTCTCTCGGTCTCTGTCTCTCTGTGTCTCTTGAGGTCCTTGTAGTGATCCAACCTTTTTTGAACATTTATCCTCTGAGATTGTTTCTTTATTGGATAGTTCGTCTTGTTTGTGTAAGAGACAGGCAGAGAGCAGGGAGGGGGAGAGGGAGACCCAGGCTCCTCAAGCACACTGGGCCCCAAGCCCGGGGCCTGCCAGGGCGGGATCCCACGGGGCTGCGGCCACGACCTGAGCCACAGCCGAGAGTCAGATGCTAAGTGCCTGAGCCACAAGCATCAAGGCCCGGGTTCCTGCCATGGGCGCTCCTGCTGCCCGCAGCCCCCGAGAGCTCGGGCTGCGGTCTGCGCTCCCAGCCCAGGCCTCCGGGCGGTTCCATGCAGGCTGCACTTCCCCTCTGTCCCACCTCAGGGTGCAAGGGCCTCGGCCGGGAAGGGGCCTCCCATCTGCCCGACGAAGCCCAGCCGGACGGAGCTGCTGGAGCAGGAATTCCAACAACTGCTGCCCGCCTTGCTGCGCAGGGATGTCATCTCGGTATTCATGTTTTTAGATGAATGTCATGGATTTGCCACCACCGAGGAGGTGCTGGATCTGCTGTTTACGAAGTGAGCACCTGCCCCTCCATGGCCCAGGGGAGCGCCACCTGCTGGTGGGGAGGCTGGGGAAGGGTTCTGAGCTTCCCGGGCCTCGGGCTGCTCCCCCGACTGGAGCAGAGTCACCCAGGGCACAATGGGGTCCTGGAGGGCAGCCCCGGGGCCTGGCCTGTGACAGGTCGGCCAGAGGGGCTGTGCCTGTGCTCAGCAGCCGTCCTCACCCCATGACGGGGCCTGTGCCTCCTCCCCACCGTCACCAGGGTCTTGAGCTGGCCTCTTTTCCCGTTGAAAGGGAGGTTTGAGAGTCCACCGGGGGTCTGTGTCCTGGGGCAACCAGACAGGGGGACCACGGGGACCCCGGGGCGCCCAGGCCCACTCTGATATCGGCCATGGGCCTGGCCGGAGCCCTTTCATGCTCAAGCACTCAGGAGGCCCCAGCAGGTGCGGGCGCTTCTCCGGGAGCTGCGCGTGGCCCCACGCACAGAGCTGACGGCACCCAGGGCTCCGGCGTCGTCGGGGGTCAGAGGGTGACAGCCCCCATGGTGAGAGGTCGCGGCCACAGGACGATTCATGGGATGCCCCCCGCCCTCCTCTAGATATGGATGCATCGCAGGTGGGTGTGGTGGCAACGACGCGGTCCTGCAGCCCTGGAAACTGTGAGTGACTCCGGCTGCTGCAGGCGGGCCTTCCCTCTCCAGGAGGGCAGCGAGGGGGCTGTGGGTCGGGGGGTGCTGGACACTCACCCCACACACCTGCAATTCCTGTGACAGGGTAAAGGTCTAAGGGCCCTTAAGGAAAAGAGGAAAGGAGAGCTGTGAATAGGGTGTGGGCTTGGTGGGAGAGCACTGGGACCCCGAAGGGAGACTTTCTCCATGCCCGCCCCTCCACCCCTCTGTCTGCCCCACACCTGGGACCCAGAGCAGAGGGGGTGGGGAGCATCGCACTCCCCAATATGGTGGCACCTGGACCCAGGTGCACAGCAGGTTGCCAGGAGGGCCGTTGAGGGCTCACGGACCAGGTGGCCCTCGCCCTGTGGGAGACGGGAGATTGGAGTCAGTGGAAGGACATCCCCTGGGGCCCCTCATGAGGGAGGCAGCGCAGAGCCACAGGAGGGAAAGTGGAGGTCCCGGGTGGCTCCTGGCAAAGCCTGGCAGGACACAGAGCCCGAGCTCTCTGGCTTGGACCTTCCCAGAGTGACAGTGTGTGCAGTGAGGGCAATGACAGGCCAGACGCCCCCCCCACCCCATCCCCGGACGCCTGCCGGTGGATTCAAGGGGCAAGTGGGCAGGGACCCAGGCTGAGGAGGGAGCCCCGCTTCCCCAGCAAAGACAGTGATGGTCACACCGCTGGGCGTGGGCTCCCCCGCACAGAGGCTTCGTGCCAGCCCCTCCTCGGTGAGCAGGCCTGTGGCAGGCAGGACTGCCAGGTGGCAGGTGGACGAGGAGCAGGACTGGCCTCCGACAGGCCCGCGCGGGAGGCTGAGGCCCCGGGTCCTGCAGGGTTTCCCCGGGACACCTCGGCGTGAGGGAGCCCTGTCTTCTGACGCCTGTACCCACCTGTCCCTCCCCAGGGCCATGTGCTGCATCCTGGAAATATGGGTGGATTATTATCGGCAGGACTTGTGTCAGCTCCGAGAATTTGCTTCCCTGAAGAAGATTCTGGAATTCTTAAGGCAGCGCATGCCAGGCACAGATGTGGAGCTCCGTGCCCGACGTTACCTCCAACAACTCAGACGCCTTCATGCAGTGGAGCCAGAGGCTGGGGGTGAGGAGTCCTAGGGGTGGCCGAGCTGGGGACAGGGTGGGCCCCACGGATCCAGCGACCGTGCAGCTGGGCAGGGAGCAGGGGTTAGGCTCACACCCCATCCCCACGAGCTCTAGGCTGGGGACACCTACCAGGGCTCTCCCCCCCACCCCCACACAAACACTGAGCGGTGGGGAGAGTGTCCTTGATTTGGGAGGGTCGTGGAAAGTCCGTCCTGGTGGTGATACTTTGTCTTTTTGGAGCTACAGCTTTGGCCCGAGCAAAAGACCCTGAGCCACTTCAGCAGCCCGCCCCAGCTCCAACTCCGGGGCCTGCTGCCTCGGTAGGGCCTGAAGTGATCGAGGCCATCCTGACAGCTGGGGCTGAGGGCTCGGCCCCAGCTGAGGTGCCAGCTGGGGAGGCGAAGCCCCTGCAGATAGTGGTCACTGCTCTAGTTCCTGCTGCACCCTGGACGAGCCACCTGCACCCGCGGCCACCCGGGAGGAGGAGCAGGCCCCGGCACCTTCAAGCGGGGTCCCCAGAATGCCAGAGCCGCCACTTGCCTCTGGAACAACTGGCTTCCATCCCTGAGCAGCCCCCTGACCACCTGGGGAGCCCACCCCAGCTCCCACCGCGGGGCTCGTGATGGCTGCAGCCCAACGGAGGCTTGCCCTCCCCTGTCACTTGATTCTTTCTATATTTTGAGTTTTTCTTTAACCTGTATAATGCCTTATGAGTTTTATCGTCATAAATTATAAGTTAACTTCAAACAAAATTCACTCTGATGCTTTTAAACTATACATCGTGGACCTACACTTTAGGTCCATTCACAGTGTCACAGGCCCCAGAGCCCAGGGCACCGGGGGACACAGCCCAGGATCGGGTGCTCCCCCGGGTCAGGCAGAGGCCGGGAGGACACAGGACAGCCAGGGGGCTCCTGCCCCCGGGCGGCCCGAGCTGTACAGATCGGCGGGCCCGCCCCTGGAGCATCCAGGGCCCTGTGCACTGGGAGCTGCGGTAGTCACTGCGGGAGCTGACTCCAGGGCTGCACAGCTGGCCGCCCCCACTGTTGTTGTCCCTCCTGGTGTCACCCTGTACCTGGGACTGAGCAGGGGCCTCACAGATAAACAACTCCCACTGAGCCATACACCTGGCAGGGGCCTGGGTAGCTCCCCATGTGCACACACCTGAGAATCAGCACAGCAGGCCCCTCCCCCAGAAGACCAGCTAGAAGGTCAGGGGAAAAGCAAGGTATTGACCAGGCAGCACTGGAAAGTTCCAGGGGAAGTCGAGGGATTTACAGTATATAGAATCAGAGGATACTCCCCCTTGTTTTTTTCTTTTCTGTTTGTTTCTGCTGTTTCCCCACCCCCTTTTTTATTCTTTTTTATTTCTTCTTTTCTCTCTCTCTCTCTCTCTCTCTCTGTCTCTCTCTCTCTCTCTCTCTCTTTCTCATTATTCCAGTACAACTTGTCTTTGGCCACTCCGCACTGAGTAAAATGGCTAGAAGGAAAAACTCACCTCAAAAGAAAGAAATCAGAAACCGTCCTCTCTCCCACAGAGTTACAACATTTGGATTACCATTCAATGTCAGAGAGCCAATTCAGAAGCACAATTATAAAGCTACTGGTGGCTCTAGAAAAAAGCATAAAGGACTCAAGAGACTTCATGACTGCAGAATTTAGATGTAATCAGGCCAAAATTAAAAATCAGTTAAATGAGATGCAATCTAAACTGGAGGTCCTAACAACCAGGGTTAACGAGGTAGAAGAACGAGTGAGTGACACAGAACACAAGTTGATGGCAAGGGCGGAAACTGAGGGGAGAAAAGAAAGACAATCAAGAGACCATGAGGATAGGTTAAGGGAAATAAATGACAGCCTCAGAAGGAAAAATCTACGTTTAATTGGGGTTCCCGAGGGCGCCAAAAGGGACAGAGGTCCAGATTATGTATTTGAACAAGTCATAGCTGAGAAATTCCCTAACTTGGGAAGGGAAACAGGCATTTAGATCCAGGAGACAGAGGGATCCCCCCCCCCCACCAAAAATCCATAAAGACCGCTCAACATTTAACATTTAATTTAATACTGAAACTTGCAAATTCCAAAGATAAAGAGAAGATCCTTAAAGCAGCAAGAGACAAGAAATCACTAACTTTTTGGGGAGAAGCATTAGGACAACAGCAGACCTCTCTCAACAGAGACCTGGGAGGCAATAAAGGGCCGGCAGGATATAGTCAGGGTCCTAAATGAGAGGAACCTGCAGCCAAGAATACTTTATCCAGCAAGGCTCTCAGTCAGAATAGAAGGAAACATAAAGAGCTTCCAGGATAGGCAGAAACTGAAAGGATATGTGACCACCAAGCCGGCTCTGCCAGAAATATTAAGGGGGACCCTGTAAAAGAAAGAGGAAGTCCAAGGAAACAATCCACAAACACAGGGACTGAATAGGTATCATATTCAGGTATCATAAATCCCTATCTTTCAATAGTAACTCTGAACGTGAACGGGCTTAATGACCCCATCCAAAGGCGCAGGGTTTCAGACTGGATAAAAAAAGCAAGGCCCATCTATTTGCTGTCTCCAAGAGACTCATTTTAGACATCAGGACACCTACAGTCTGAAAACAAAAGGTTGGAGAACTGTGTACCATTCAAATGGTCCTCAAAAAAAGCAGGGGTAGCCATCCTTATATCAGATAAATTAAAGTTTATCCCAAAGACTGTAGTGAGAGGTGAAGAGGGACACTATATCATACTTAAAGGATCTATCCAACAAGAGGACCTAACAATCATGAATATTTATGGCCCGGATGCGTGAGCCGCCAAGCAGATCAATCAATTAATAACCAAAGTTAAGACATACTTAGATAATAATACACTTCTACTTGGGGACTTCAATGTAGCGCTTTCTGCAATCGACAGGTCTTTCAAGCACAACATCTCCAAAGAAACAGGAGCTTTAAATGATACCCTGGACCAGATGGATTTCACAGATATTTACAGAACTTTACATCCAAACGCAACTGAATACACATTCTTCTCAAGTGCACATGGGGCTTTCTCCAGAAGAGACCACAAACTGGGTCACACATCAGGTCCTAACTGATACCAAAAGATTGGGATCGTCCCCTGTGTATTTTCAGACCATAATGCTTTGAAACTAGAACTAAATCACAAGAAGAAGTTTGGAAGGATTTCAAACACGTGGAGGTTAAGGACCATCCTGCTAAAAGGTGAAAGGGTCAACCACGAAATTAGAGAAGAATTAAAAAGATTCATGGAAACTAATGAGACTGAAGACACCACCATTCAAAATCTTTGGGATACAGCAAAAGCAGGCCTGAGGGGGAAATGCATCACAATACAAGCATCCATCCAAAAACTGGAAAGAACTCAAATACAAAAGCTAACCTTGCACCTAAGGGAGCTGGAGAAAAGACAGCAAATAGATCCTACACCCAGCAGAAGAAAAGGGTTAAAAAAGACTCGAGCAGAACTCAATGAAATAGAGACCAGAAGAACTGTGGAACAGATCAACAAAACCAGGGTTTGGTTCTTTGAAAGAATTAATAAGATAGATAAACCACTAGCCAGCCTTATTTAAAAGAAGACAGAAAACACTCAAATTAAAAAAATCATGAAAGAGAAAGGAGAGATCACTACTAACACCAAAGAAAGGACCTAGAGTGTATTCTATACGTTGAGCAAAGTCAGTCATTCAGACAAAGTACCGGATGATTTCACTCATATGTGGAATTAAAACAACAACAACAACAACACACGAATATAGGGGAAGGAAGGAAAAGAGTGGGAGGTATACTATAAGAGATTCTTTAGTACAGAGAACAAGAGGCTTGCTGGAGGGAAGCAGGGCATGGGATTGGCGTGGTGATTGGCATTGAGGAGGGCACTTGTTATGTGTTATACATAAGTGATGAATCACTAAATACTAGTCTTGAACCAATATTACAGTGTATGTTAACTAACTAGAATTTAAGTAAAAACTTGAAAAAAAATAAGGAAAGAACACTCATGGAATGGTAAAGCTTGCAGGGACCACGGTAGTCCAGTAGCAAGCACCTTGTGCATTAAAAGATGAGGAAGGGGCGCCTGGATGGCACAGTCAGTTATGTGACCAACTGTTGGTTTCAGCTTGGATCCTGATCTCAGGGTCATGAGGTCGAGTCCCACATCGGGCTCCGTGCTCCATCTGGAGCGTGTTTCCCGCTCTCTCTAACTCCCACTTGTGCTCTCTCTCCCTCTCTCTGATATATATATCTTAAAAAAATTAAGATGAGAAAAATAAATCACATTTTCAGACACAGTGCAGACCCTGGAGCTACAAAGCCTCACCTATACCACACACTACCCTGCTTGCCTCATCTTTCCTCAAGCTCCCTTTTCTGCTCTCTCTTCCTCCTTTTTCTTTCCTAGACACCATATGCTTAGTGAGGCCAGCAGGACCAAGAGCTAAAAATGTCCTGGGTGTGGCCCTTCATAAAGGCTTTCATCAAAGGCACTTACCTTGAAGTTGAAGCCATGATGAGCCAGGAACAGAGACTTGTCTATATGTGCAGAGTCAAAGAACCTGTAAGACAGCAAAAGTCGACTTTTAAAAATTGTATGCCGGGCAGCCCGGGTGGCTCAGTGGTTCGGCGAGTGCCTTCGGCCCAGGGTGTGATCCTGGACACCCAGGATCGAGTCCCACGTCAGGCTTCTGCGTGGAGCCTGCTTCTCCCTCTGCCTGTGTCTGTGCCTCTCTCTCCCTTCTGTGTCGCTCTCATGAATAAATAAAGAAAATCTTTAAAAAATAAAAAAATAAAATAAAATATGTATTCTTTCATTGTAAAGGTCCTTAACTATCAATTTCACTTGAAAAAAAATGTATGTTAATTAGCAAGGAATAGGACCTTCTCACCATTTAAGTGAAAACAAAACAAAACAAAACACATGTTTAGCTTAAAGTTCACCAGCAGTAAGCAGAGGATGGATTGAAAACACACACAGCAGAGGGGGTCTAGTCAACTGGCCAATCAGAGGGAAAAACAACGAGCTCTCCACCTCCTGCTGAAACATATTATAGGTCAAAGGTTTTCACCGTCAAAACTACTGGCATGTGAGCCGGATGAACCTTTGTTGGGGGGCTGTCCTGTGAATTACGGGATTTTAACAGCTTTCCGGAACTCTACCCACTAGATGCCAGTAAAACACGGATCCCCTACCTGTGAAATCAAACATGTTTCCAGACATTGCCATACGTCCCATGGGGGACAAAATTGCAGCTGGTTGACAACTATTATTCTATATCAAGACTACCAATAGATCCTACTGTAAAGAGGAAATACTGTCTACTAGTGCTGCCCAATATGGTATGTGGTTATTAGATATCTGATATATATGGCGAGTGTGATTGAGAAAGTGAATTTTTAATTTTATATAATTTTAATTAATTTTAATGTCAATTATCACATGTGCCTGGCCAGTGACCACCGTATTAGTGAAGTCCCAGATGGATAAAGAACCAATTATGAAACAACGTTCTCTTAACAACCAACAGGTCAAAGAAGAAAAAATTCTTTCATAGAATCACTTAAGGGGGAAATTAAAAAGCATCTTGAGGCCATCTGGGTGGCTCAGTTGGTTAAGCCTTCGACTCCTGCTTTGGCTCAGATCATGATCTCAGGATCTTGAGATGGAGCCCTGTGCCGGGATCTGCAGTGAGTGTGGAGCCTGCTTAAGATTCTCCCTCTCCGGATGCGGAGAAAAGGGAACACTCTTACACTGTTGGTGGGAATGTGAACTGGTGCAGCCACTCTGGAAAACTGTGTGGAGGTTCCTCAAAGAGTTAAAAATAGACCTGCCCTATGACCCAGCAATTGCACTGTTAGGGATTTACCCCAAAGATTCAGATGCAATGAAACGCCGGGACACCTGCACCCCGATGTTTCTAGCAGCCATGTCCACAATAGCCAAACTGTGGAAGGAGCCTCGGTGCCCATCGAAAGATGAATGGATAAAGAAGATTCGGTTTATGCATACAATGGAATATTACTCAGCCATTAGAAACGCCAAATACCCACCATTTGCTTCAACGTGGATGGAACTGGAGGGTATTATGCGGAGTGAAGTAAGTCAGTCGGAGAAGGACAAACAGTGTATGTTCTCATTCATTTGGGGAATATGAATAATAGTGAAAGGGAATATAAGGGAAGGGAGAAGAAATGTGTGGGAAATATCAGAAAGGGACACAGAACATAAAGACTCCTAACTCTGGGAAACGAACTAGGGGTGGTGTAGGGGGAGGAGGGCGGGGGGTGGGGGTGAATGGGTGACGGGCACTGCGGGGGACACTTGACGGGATGAGCACTGGGTGTTATTCTGTATGTTGGTAAATTGAACACCAATAAAAATTAATTAAAAAAAAAAGATTCTCCCTCTGCTTTCCCCCTGCCCCAACCCACTCCTGGGTTCTCTCTCTTACATAAATACATAGTATCTTGAAACAAATGAAACAAGGAAAGCCAATATACCAAAACATTTAGGCTGCAGCAAAAGATTTCTAGGAGAGCTTAATGCTATAAACACATACAGAGAAAAATATATACATAAATATCTCAAGGAACTCTAGAAAGAATAGATGAATGGATAAAGAAGACGTGGTACATATGCGATGGAGTATTATTCAGTTATAAAAAGAATGAAATCTCGTCATTTGGAATGACGTACATGGAGCTAAAGAGTAATACTAAGCGAAATAAGTGAGTCAGAGAAACACAAATATCATATGATTTCATTCCTAAGTGTAATTTAAGAAAAAAAAAAAAAAGAATGTGCAAAGGGGGCCACCTAGGTGGTTCAGACGGTAAAAGCATCTGCCTTTGTGTGTTGTTTATTTTTTTCACTTCACGAGACTTAATACTCTTTCATGAAAAGAACTCTTACTAAACTAGGAGTAAAAGTAAACCAACTAAACATAATAAAGACCAAATATGAAAAAAAAAAAAACATCCCAACTAATGTACAAAATAGCAAAAGACTCAAACTTTTCCTCTAAAAATAGGATCAAAATAAAGTTCTTTACTCTGGCCTTTCCATCAAATCTAGTACTAGAAAACTTAGCCAGAGCAATTAGGCAAGTAAAAGAAAGAAAAAACATCAAAACTGGAAAGGAAGAAGAATAATCTTATTTGCATATAACATAATCTTATACGTAGAAATCGTAAGGGTTAAAAAAATTAGAAGCAGTAAACAAATTCAACAAGGTTGCAGAAATGAAATCCAACACACCAAGAAGCAGTTGCGTCTCTATCTGTTAACAATGAACAGTTTGAAGTGGAACTCAAGAACACATCTCCATTTACCAAAACACCGAAAAAAAGTAAGATATTCAGGAGTAAGACTAATGAAAGAAGTGAAAGAATCATACACTGAACATGAGAAAACATATGTAAGAGTAATGTTTAAAAAAAAAAAAACCCAAAATAGATATCTTGCATTCATAAGTTGATAGACTTGATATTTTTTTAAAAGATTTTACTTATTTATTCATGAGAGACACACGGAGAGAGAGGCAGAGACACAGGCAGAGAGGGAAGCAGGCCCCGTGCAGGGAGCCTGATGCGGGACTCGATCCGGGGACTCCAGGATCATGCCCTGAACCAAAGGCAGACGCTTAACCACAGAGCCACCCGGGCTTCCCGATGATAGACTTAATATTGCTAAAATGTCAATGCTGCCCAAAGTACTTCACAGGTTCAGGGCAATCTCTATCAAAATCCCGATACCATTTTTTTTTCCAGAAATCGAAAAATCCGTCCTAAAATTATTTGGAATCAAGGGAAGCCAAATAGCCAGGATAACTTTGGGAAAAAAGAACAAAGTTGGAGAATTCACATGTCCTCATTTCGATACATTGTCCAGCTAAAGAAGTCAAAATAGCATGGCCCTGGTAGAAAGGTAGATCTACACAGACCAGTGAAGTGTAACAGAACCAGAAAGAAAGCCTCATGTATATGGTCAGGTAATCTTCAAAAAGGACGTCAAAACTACCCAATAGGGAAAGGAGAGTCTCTCTAACAAATGCTGTTGAAAACACTGAGTATCTACATGCAAAACAATAAAGTGGGCTCTTGCCTGACATCATGCACAAAGACTTAACTCAAAATGTATCAAAGAACTAAACGTAAAAGTTAAAATTATAAAACGCTTGCAAGGAAACATAGGGAAAAGAGTCCCAATATCAGATCTGCCAATGATTTCTCTCTTTTTTTAAACAGGCTCCATACCCAGGGTGGAGCCCCATATTAGGCTCCAACTCACAACCCTGAGATCAAGACCTGAGCTGACATGGAGTCCTATGCTTACTGACTGAGCCACCCAGGATCCCCGGACCTGGCAATGATTTCCTGACTACGAAACCAAAGCACCAGCAAACAAGTAAACATACACAAATGGGGTCTATAAAACGTCAAATGCATCAAAGGATACAATCTAGAGAGTGAAGAGACAACGAATAGAATGGGGAAAATATGTGCAAATCATGTATTTGACAATAAGTGAATATACAAAAAACTCCTACGAACTTCGTCACAAGGCAACAAGTAGCCCAATGGAAGAAAGGACGAAGAGCTTGTACAGACATTCCTTGAAAGATGTATAAATGGCCAATGAACCTATGAAATGCTGCTCCACATCACTAACCATTAAAAAAGGCAAATCACAACCACGATGAGGGTCACCTCACACCCATTAGGATGACCACTATTAAAAAATAAAATGTTGGCAAGGATATGGAGAAATCGGGACACTTGTGCGTTGCGGATAGGAATGTAAAATGGTGCAACCACTATGTAAACAGTATGAGAGTTCCTCAAAAAAAAAAATTAAAAATACAACTACCATATAACCCAGCAATCCTACTTCTGGGCTACGTGTAGTCAAAAGGATTGAAAGCGGGGTCTCCAAGAGACCTCCATCTTCAGAGAAGCATTCTGTGTCATAGCCACGGGGTGGGAGCAACTCACATGTCCATCAAAGGTAAATGGATAAAGAAAACGTGGCATAGGGATCCCTGGTGGCGCAGCGGTTTGGCGCCTGCCTTTGGCCCAGGGCGCGATCCTGGAGACCCGGGATCGAATCCCACATCGGGCTTCCGGTGCATGGAGCCTGCTTCTCCCTCTGCCTGTGTCTCTGCCTCTCTCTCTCTCTGTGACTATCATAAATAAATAAAAATTAAAAAAAAGATTTAAAAAAAAAAAAAAAAGAGCATTTGCTGTTAAAAAAAAAAAAAAAAAAGAAAACGTGGCATATACTGATGTTTATTTATTTATGAGAGACACACGGAGAGAGAGGCAGAGACACAGGCAGAGGGAGAAGCAGGCTCCATGCAGGGAGCCCGAGGGGGGACTCGATCTCAGGTCCCCAGGATCAGGCCCTGGGCCAAGGCGGCGCTAAACCGCTGAGCCACCCGGGCTGCCCTCTCTTTCTTAGTAAAGAGAAATTTTACCACATTACAAGCACAGTATGACACAATCACTTGTACATTTTCAATAGCTTAGTCTACACCCCCAGGTGACTCGGGCTGAGCGT